CGTACGTGATGCGAAGACTTTTTACTCAAAAGTATCGTGCATCACATGTGATGCACCGGACAGTCAACGTGTTAATAGAGAAAAGAAAATTTCGATAAAATCAAAATGCATGTATATATATATGATTGTAGATGATCTATTATCGAGTTTTATTAAAACATTAATTTCTTTTTACATCTTATCGTTGTATCTTGTCGATTATTTGTTATTTCATATTCAGTTATTCTTTTTTTTCGTATATAGATGATTTTACGCATTCTAATCGAACAGTTTGAATAAGAAAAAACAAAAAATGAAATGATTTTTCAAGCTGTCATATGTATAATATTCATTAAAATTTCAATCTAAAGATGTCTTGTGATAAGTCTTATTGATAACATGTGTTGATTATGCTAAATAACAAAATAAATAACTGATAAATAGTCTATTACATATTTAAAAAAAAATTATTAATTTACTAGACAGTAAAATCAGTGTATAAAGTATATTTATTTATGAGTAAATAAGAAAGAAATGTGTGTCCAATTAAGTATGGTATGTAGAAAAAAAAAGCATGTTGAGTATGTAACAGTAAAAACTAAGTCAGCAATTACACAGTCATTCGAAAAGATCGATAGTTTATTGACAGGATGATTGTGTTGTTTTAAGAAGCGAGTTTACTCAAATAATGATAAACAACCCATTACATACAAACGGTTTGATAATTAATGAGTGCAAATAAATATTGATGGACACATTAAAATACATTTTGATAAATATGTTCTTATCGAATTTGTAACGATCTATACAAGTAATATATTAAATAATAAATAGAAGTTACATATCAAACCTTAAAAAGATTTTTCCTTGATCATTGTCTTTTCCCTAAAAAGAATTAATTTCAATACTGTATATAAAATGAAAAAAGAGTAATAGATCTAACCAAATATTTCATAATATTTTCGATTTGTGCAATTGGAAATGGTATTTTAGCTTTTCTTAAACTAAACAGAAATTGATCATAAGTAACTGACACCCGATTTTCTTCATATGGAATAAACAAATCCGTCAAATCAATATCATTTTCATCACAATGTGTATGAATTAAATTTAAAAGATGATTAACAAATTGTTCTATTGTTTTTTTTATTGGTTCAATATAATATTTCAATTGTTTATGATTTGCAAAAAGTTTTTCAACATGAGAAATTTGTTTTGAATTTAATGTTAAACCCTATAGAAAGATAACAACGAATAAAAAATATAAATAAAATAATAAATATACAGTTAAATCAAGTTCTTCTAATGATATATTATCAAGTTTTGATAATGCTTCTAATATAATTATCATACAACGTGTATCAAGATGATTATGTCCTAACTAAAAAGAAAAATTATCTTCTAGAATGCATAAAATTTTCTTACTCGAAATCTTTTTAATACTTGATTTGTCATAGCTACGACAAGTAGATCATAAATAGACGTATTATTTCCAGTAATTAAACTCGATGGATTTTCTTCAATATATGTATTATATTGGCAAAAAATTTGATTTCCAGATAAATTCAAATCATTCAAAACCATATTGCGTGTTAATGAATTTGTTAAATATTCAACTGTATCATTTGTAAAACTATTATTGGATAAATCAAGTGATATTAATCTATTATTATCACCAATAGCTTTAGCTAAAGCACAAGCACCCATTAAACGAACACTACACCAACTTAAATCAAGTTTAAGTAAAACATTATCATCACCTAATATTTAAAAGAAAAAAACAATCGATTATTTTATACCGATAAGAAGCTATATATTACATAGCCATTTAGCAATAGAAATGCCACCTTCTTCATTTAATTGATTATGACTTAAATTAAGATCTCGGATATTCGAACGTTCCTATTTAGATTTATTTGAACAGTTCTTTCGTTATAAATCACTTACCTCGAGTTGTAATAGTAAAATATTAATATCACTTGCTATCAATTCATTTCCTATAGAAAACAAAAATATCAACATATAAAATTTCACTTAATAATACAAACCAGCAATATTTAAACATTTTAATTGATTACAAGAAGCAATTCCAGCTGCTAATTTACGAATACCTTTGGTGCCGAGATTATTATACGAAAGATTCTATAACATAAACAAATTTACCTTTAAAAAAATATACGAAAAAATTATCTAGATGAAATTTTGTTTTTCATTCGAGAAACAATAGATCTATAGTTTAAAATACATTATAAATGATTCTTTAATTACATTTTAACTATGAGTAAATATCAGAGGATCTTACTGATTTTCAGTTTTTTATCATAACAGTCTAATATTCTTATACTATAGATCTCAAAGTACTGTGTAAAGTGGGGAGCTACGGGTAGACCCGGAACCCGATCGGGTCCGAGTCTAACAAAAAACATTTTTCTCGCGTCTGGGTCGGATACGGGTTTAGCAGATTGTTTTTTTTCTTGAGTCTCTGCTGGATCTGGGTTCAAAAAACCATGGATCCGCATCTCTACCATGTATACAGAGGTTGCTATATATTGGTAAAAAGAATCTGGGTCTGAGCCTGACCGGATCCGGATCGGACCCGAGTCCAAAAAAACGTGGACCCGCAGCTCTCTAGTGTAAAGAGATTTATATATTTCTTACTTACATATTCTTCAACATAACTATTTTCCTTGAGAATTTGATAGATATAAGACATGCCTGTATTTCCAATATTATTTCCTGATAGATTCAATGATAAAACTGTTGTATTACGCTAAATATTAGAAGAAAAATAAATATGAATTTTTTTCTTTTACAAATTTACTATAAGAGCTGCAGCTAATGCTGCTGATCCTTTTGGCCCAAGTCCATAGTTTTCTAAATTGATTTTTGTTGTATTTAATGATTGTAAAATCATTGAGCATATTGAAATATTTAAACGTTTACATGTTTCTTCATAAATTTGTAAACTTGATTGATCGTTTGATATAATATCTTTTTATACAAAACGAAAAAAAAATTATTAAATTTAAAACTTTTATATCGATTTTACCCGTATCACCATCACTATTTGATCCATCATCCCATTTATTATTATCAAATTGAATTACAGTCTTATTATTTGTTGAATCAATTACTGGATCTTTTGTATCATTAAAATGTACTTGAGTTTCTGTTAGATTTGTCATTAAACGTGGTCGAAAAGCTTGTAATGTTGTTTGAGCTAATCTTGTATAAGGATTTTCAATAATATTTGCTTTATGTGAATCGATAATGCGATCAATATTTGGATCACGTTTAACATTACTACTTACAAAACCAATAACAGGAGGATATGAATATTTCAAACGAATACGTTTACTATCTCCACGTAATTGTGAACCTGTTGATTTATTTGTACCTGGTCTACTTGAATAACTTCTAGTAGTTATATCACTATTTGTCTTTAAATTAAGTTCTTCTTCATAATCATCATCATCTCCAAAATAAATATCATCACCCCATTCTGATACAGGATATTCATTGATATCACTTAAACCCTATTTTATTAAGAGAGAGAAGAAAAAAAAACAAACGTAGTAACTTATTTCTATTCTATGATTACCTCTGTTGAAACCATTTGTTGAATTCTGATTAATTCAATGTTTTATTCATTCATTATATATATATATATATTGCATCCATAGAAATTATTCTTATTAGATTGAAGGTTAATAATAAAAAGAAGAACAGAACGGATTGCAGAATTTCGCCAGTGTCATTAAGTGCTTACGCATGTGCTCCTAGTAACTATATTGAGAAGTTTAAACTATAGTATGCTTATTCGAATAATATTAGGTTAATTTTGTACTAATCTTATATTATTAAAGTTGGCGAGACTTCGCTATACTTACGCCAATGACGAATTTTCTATTATTGTCATTCACCGATCATATTGTTCTTATCAAATACCTGCGTTGCAGTCGACATATGACAAAATTTCTTTAGACTTTTACAATAGACAGATGAAAAGCCGTTTTGATATTATCAATGTATGCGTAGATATTAATCAACAAGAAAAAAATTCATTGAAGAAAGAACTATGTGACATAATTTGATGTTTCGATGATAATGTAATGAAGCATAGTTTTATTGATTTATATTTATCTGAAATCGAATTAATTTTGTTTCTATAATACAATAATTCATATTATTTGATATCATACAAATTTTATAATTCAATCGTATAAAATATTCAAAATAAATCTAATATTTAACAAACATGTTATATCGATATAATGTCATATATTGAGATATTCCGTGTGTGACATACATATTCTTAATAAAAAAAGTCATTTGAATTAGATTCTGTTAACTAATGAGTGCCAAACAGCAATCAATTATTTAAAATGTCTTTTTATCACGTTTTGTTGATGGAAATATATTTTTCTTTAGATTAATCTTGATTGTATATATTATAGGCATAAAACTATTATCATTCGTTTTATGGTAAACAAAAAGAGTAGACTAGTATCATCT